CCCGAAGTTGAGAGACTCGAAAGGACCAGTGAACCGGGATTTAATCATAGCCAAGCCTTGAACATTCTTAGCTGTGATGCATCCCATCGGCTCGCTGGCAGGGAACAATGAAACAACAGGTGACGGGGCACCCAATGCTATCAACTGTCATTGAGCTAGATCCACGTGTCCGCCAGACTAACTGGCAGACGTCGTCGTCTCGTTATTCAATTCCTTCGGCCGTGGTTCAACGCGTATATCGCGTCGCGGTGACGCACACCTGGATATCTCGCCTAACGCGGTCGTAGTTGCGGCCGCAGAAACGAAAATTCACACCGCGATCACTCGTTTCAGTCTTTGGACTTACGCCCCGGCTTAACCGCGCCACCGCGAGTATTTTTAGCGGACCATCTAGATTACACGCCCGGTGTGGAGATACATACGTCCCCGCTGCTCTCTCTCTCTATCTCTGTTGCGTTAATATATATCTTTGAAATATCTCGGTCGCGGCAAAAATCTGATTGTTCGAAATAAACCATGTGACTCACGCGACGCGGCAATGGCCTTTGCAATCGGGACAATTCACGGATTGAACCTCGAAATTCGATTCCAGAGCGAAATCAATTTAAGAATTGAAATTAAATTAGGACGAATATTGAGATTTAAAAAAATAGAATTGTTTTTTTATAAAATTTAGTATTTGAAAAATAATTAAGTATTTATTGACTCGATTTCTGTTCTTCGTTCGTTTGAAACGAAATCCGGTAAGAGATGGTGGGTTATGGAGATTAAAGGGTTAATAGGTCATTATCGGGCATAAACGAACCCATTCCGATGCGGTGTTCGCGGAAATCGGTCAAAGTCAGACTCGTCGGCAATGCTGCCTGCGAATGGCTTGGATGTCCACCTGTTTCCGACTAAAAACGGACAGGGGCCCGGGCAGCCTAAATATAGCGACCGCGAATCCGGGACTCTTACGTCACGAAGCATCGTTCTCCGCGATCATGACCACCGAGCTTTTTCGTACTTTTCCGTGCACCGGACGCGTCATCAACGCGATCGCACGCGATTCAAACGACCGCCATCACGGACAACAAGTTAATTACATTTTTCTAAATTTAATGCGACTCGCTTGAATCATACGACGTGATCGTCGATTTTTTCGCGTAAATAAATCACACGATGATCTTAGATTATGGCTTTTCGAGATTTATTTAAAAGACTGAAAGATTTTATACGATTTCTTAGATATTATCGTAGTCCCAAGCAGGGGATTTAAATCTGATTTCTCAGTCAACGTAGGCATTTAAATATGACGTCATTAGTGACATCATTTAAAGAGTCATCACGATATTTAAACGCTTGATCATTCAAGTGTTACGTACGCCTCGTCGATGCTTTCGGAACATTCGAGTCTTGTAACGTATGCATCCCTTGCGGGGGAAAATCAAGGTCAAGGCGAGCGTAGAAGTGTCTAAAAAATGCCCTTGTATGGTCATCCCTTATTTCGAGAGACGAGCTCATTTGGGTATAAAACGGCGCTTTATAATGGCCCATCGAATTAGTTCTACTCTGAATCTCTGACCCACCGAAGGTCCTGTTTCCCTCCAATAAGAATTCTTTAAGTATAAATTAGAACTGAAGAAGGAATTCTCTTACCATTAATAGCTGACTATCATTTGTAACACTGAATAGAGAATAGAGACTTCTATTTGTAACGAAGAATTCGTTTAGAGTCTCATTTATTCGCTTCCCTGATATTTTCTATTAGTTTAATAATTAGAACATCTCACGAACCGATATGTCTTAATTATGCTCGAGACGTATCATCGTTGGTAACCCGCAAACATCTACACTACCTAAGTGGCAAAG